CACACACACTCCAATTCCAATTCGTCCAACAAAAATTTCAAATTTGATCCTCTTTCAGCCGCCCGGAGGCCTGCTATATGGAAGAAGGTTCCTTAGCTGTCTTATATGGTTTCCTTTCATTTGTGGTGTGTAGTCACACCTGATATTACGGTTGTTTGCTTCCTTGCTGCGGTGCTTGTGGTTTTTGGTTCTGGTGTGATCCAGATCTCTTTGTAATGATATCGACGGGTACTAGCTGAGCACACACACACACACTCGTACAACACTCAACGTCTTATGTGAGAAGACTTATTCTTAGTCGATCTTTTGATGCTGTCCTCTCATTTATATCAAGGTCTATGTTTTTTCTTTCTTTCTGAAATACCTTGAACTTTCCCCTGTAACACGTTTAAAAAAAAAAAGTTTAAAGTTGTTTAACCGTAGCCGAAATGTTTGACATGTGGTTAGGAAGGTCGTAGGTTTGGGTCCTCATGCACCCGGACTTAAAAAAAAAAAAGTGATCTCGGCTCCTAGGTCCACCCAGCCTTGAGTGGGTACTAGGTATAGTCGTGGCAAGTAAAGGCGACCGGTGTGATGTTGATCAAAACACCCACCAAGAGCCGATTGGTCTATAAAAATAGTTCTAGCACTATATGGCCTATGAAGGTGTGGAAAATAGTCCTTTACTTATACTAGTTCCCCCCCCCCCCCTGCCCCCCAGTCTCTTCGGCATTTCTGTAAAAACGTTAAGCTGAACCAAAGATCAACATAATAATCAGATCACAAGTCAGACAAGTTAGACATCAAAAGTCTCATCACGGCAGAGATAAACCTGCATAGTCAGGGGAACCTACTCTCAGAGCTCCAGTAAAGTACATGCAAATGAAAGATAATATAATTATAGAGCCACGAGTCATTAGCGATAGTTTCATAACGTCGACTGCTCTTATACGCAGCCTGATTGAAAGTAAAGGAGTCTAGTTGATACAGTTACCAAGATTGCACTACAAGGACACATCTCTGAATGAACTGCTGAAAATATAAATAACACAGATTATACACGAAAGAATTTATAAAACAGTACAGTAATGAAATATATCGTCTGCTCTGTGACTAAGTCGGTGCGAACGCTTCGTAATGCAGGGATGCCGGGTTCGATCCCAGCTGCGGGCCATGCGCCTTGCATTGGTTTGGACAGTGGTATCAAGAAAGCCGACGGTCCAGAAAACAAACTACTGGACGTAAATTTGCCTAGAAAACCCACACAGCAGCCAGGAGCTGTAAAGGATACGCAACTAACCAATGAAATAGATCACGGTAAACATGTTCTCTCTGAATTACTAGTAGTTTGTTTGTTTCTGGTATTCTCTATTATGAAATGCTGCTCGAAGATTTAATATCTCATTATCATCATCATCATCAAGTGCCTTGCCAGATGGCGTAGGTATTCATGTCTACAGATCTCGGTCTTTGGTGTTCTTGATCAATCCACTGATGATACTCCTCCATGCCACTGACTTAGTAGCACCATCATCATTTCTCTTGATCTGCCTCTGTCTCTTCTAACAGTGGTCTTTCCAGTCGTCACCATATTTTCCATTGCTACTTTTCTCATCACATGAAAAAATAAATGTAATACCTATTCCCTCAAAAAGCCACTTTTCGGACGACAGCCCAACAAATAAGTCTCAGACACCTCAGTCAACTAGGTACAACAGTTATATTGGGGCAGACCTAACCTGCTGTAGATTATTAGTGGTAGATTATAATTCACTCAATGTATCGCAAGAAAGATACTGTATCATAAAATAGTTACTTCTGTCTGTCAAAGGAAAAATATAATAATGAAAACGTTGTAATTATCTTAACTTCTAGGAAAACGATGTGTAACATTTACTTATTAGTGATATCTCAGACAGAAAGGAGTGTAATCAATATCATGGTTACTGATACCTCAATCAAAAAGAAGTAACTACACTAAATTAAAAAAAAAATCCTTTTAGACACATACAATAAAAAAAAAAAATAACTATAAATAATATATAAATAATATATATATATATATATATATATATATATATATATATATATATATATATATATATATATATAAACGAGAGTACTAAAGTGCTATATAGAACTCGTTCTAGTGTAAAGGAGCGAATCTTGGAATGTAAACTGGAAAAAATTAGAAGAGTTTAGAATGTCAGCAGCAAATGTTGTGAACACCCTTGAAAGTCAATGTAACTAACGGCGATTGCCGGAAAAAGACCATTTAGTTGCCTATCCTTTACATGCCATTGGTCTCTACTTTGAGCTTGTGTCAGTCATTTCTAGCTTTTCACCTACTCAGCACCTCAAATAAGGTCATATTCAAATCCAAGCCGTGTTTCTACAGGAAATCGCCCCTTTGAAAAACACTTTTTGAAATCAAGCCAAAGAATGCTCAGGTAAGTTAGACGATTCCACGGCTTTGCGATAAATTCGTGGCATCTCCGCTTATCACCTGGTTATCAAAACTGTAACATCCTGAACAAGGTTTAGAGAGAAAAATACGCGCGCAAAAACACAACGGCGCCACACCAGCATGAAGTGACGCTGGGACACTGTAAATACTCATCAGACATAGTTCTAGACATACGTTTGTATATGCCAATGGACACTTGATGGGTGATGAGATCAACATCACGCCAGCCAGCTTTACTTCCCACGACATTACCTGGTTGACGTGAATTAGAGACAATGTCAATTTAAAGAAAATAACCAACCTCAGAAACATAATGAAATATTTGAAATAAAATCTTCTTCCCGCTGGTAACTCGGGCGGAAAATTCTGATTGTTTATCCACTTCTAGACTGCAGTCCTGTTCCAAAACCTGAATGTTGCGTGTGCATCCGTTTTACAGATCTAACTCATTTGTATGCAGAATGATGGTTCCCTGCCTCTCAGGCAGATGCACTCCGACTTTGAAGGAAGCTCCCAACTAGTCGACTCTTTCGACATGCTTTTGGGTATGAAGTGGGTCTATTCTTGTTTTCCCTATAACAGAGCCCTTGAACCCACACAGGGATGTAATAAAATGAAATTAACAACAAACGCAATGCTAAGAAGTTATATAAATGGTTGAAGGGGTTATTAACCCTTGTAGGCATCGGTGGGTGGGAATTTTTTGCAATGTTCGTAGTTTAGCTTAATGTTAAAGCTGCTAACAGTATCATAAACACCCGCTCCCCTTTTCTTGTTCTTCTTCTTCTTCTTCTTATTATTATTATTATTACGTTCGCTTGAAAAGAAATTTCTATATATGCTATGTTGTCTCTAGTATGAACTTCACTGTCATTAGTAATTCACCCGTAAAGTTTGACTTGCACCGATGTTTCTCTTGGCCAAAAGTTCTGCCTTGATATGTTGTAATTGGGACAGTCTTGGAGGACATGATCTGTTGTCTCGGGTGCCAATCCATATTTGCACATGGCTGATTCGCCGATTAAAAATTGTGTGTATATGTGGCCGCGAAATCGATTGTGTCCTGTTCTAAGGCCCTCCCTTTTTTTCTCCTTCCCTCCAATTTCATTTTCTTAAATTAGTGTAAAATGTTATGCATTGTCATACAAATACAGTGCAATGGAAAACAAAATACAAAAACAAACCCACTTACATTATTTACTCAGAGTAAATATATGACCGTGATGAGCTCACTCAAAAGACACCCAGTGTGCATAGATTCTTTTCTGAACAAATGTAAAAAGGGCGGGATCATGAAAACAATGCCAGGCGGAAGATTTCTATCTTGCTCAGATCCACACACTGACATAACACACAACACAGCCACAAACATCCTACACAGTTATAAACATTTCCTTTCAGCAGCCAGGAAGACGACTTCAAGAGGAAACAAACCAAGGCATCAGTGTGGGCGGATGTGTTATAGTAGGCATGTGCCAGATTTTTGTTAGTTTCAGGCTTCAAACGGTTTTGAGGGCGTCGACTTCATTGCATCTGGTCTGGCCCAGTTTCTCTCCATAGAAATCTATCAATTCATTCGCTGAGATTACTGCACGAAACTGTGCAGTAGTTGCATGTGTAAGCACCGGGTATCTTCGAAACTCTAGCACTTACCAACCGCAGGATGGAGTCTGAAATCAAATTCACGACCATTGAAGCACGAAACAAATGCAATTAACACTTCATCATCATCATCATCGTCACCACCTTCGTTGTCGTCATTGTTATCATTGTGTGCAATATGTCGCAAAAGGTTCTCAGTCAGTTCCTCTATTTCGTTTATCATGTGCAGCAGTCTGTTAGAATATCATGTACGAAATCTAGCCTATCACATTTGGTCTCTCGTGTTTAAGGCTTTCTCGTGGCCCCCCCCCCCCCCACCCCAGTCCATTTGATTCCCATATGAGTTCCTGTTTGGAGTTTGCTCTCAAATTCACAGGATGTACCCAGTATATCACCATCTTCTTTGTATTTTAACCATTGATACCATTCGCTGTCCAAGCATTTCTCTTAATTCTTCATCTTTGATGAATTCTTCACATTTAATGTTCACAAGTATCATCGGGCACGTAATCACTTCACATTTTATCTAATGATAAAATAAAATAAAAAATAAAAGAAATACACCTACTTACATTGCATGTTGCCAAATTGTATTTACCAGTATCTATTAGACTATGACAGCCTCTGAGTTGTAGATGCTATCAAATAATAGTTATCACGTTGGCGAAAGTGTTAATACAGTATATTACATTGCTGTAGATGTTGGTTGTCGACTCTGTAAATTAGGCGTTGCGAAAGCGCTTTGTAATTCCGAGACACTCGTTTTGAATGCAGCTGCAGGTGAACTGACTGCAGACCGCTGTGTGTTGATTTCGACAACGCCGTGGAAAGCCCTCCGCCAAGCATTACTGGCATACTACAGAAGATAAAAATGCCTAGTAAAATGAAACAGCCAACACATTCTGGGACTGGTCCGCAACTAACAAAAGATATGTGCTGAAACTGTGAGAGTCTAGCCCATGTTGTCCTCCTCGCCAGTGAGTGCGATCAGCTTCATGTCTCTGTTCTCTAGATCCAGCGTCAGTTGTTGGATCTCCGTCTCTAGCACAACATTCTTCCTTTGCATCTGTACATAGTTTAGCTGAAGTTGTTTCTGATACCTGACCACTTTGTTCTTCTCATCTAGCCACTGTTCCCGTTCTTTCTCGTGTTGTTCTTTAAGTAAGGCTATATAAGCTCTAATCTCTGTCAGTTCTTCCTGCAGACTATGGATAGCTCTTTCCTTCTCCCCGAGCATGGAAGGTTTCACGTTTTCTGACGTGGCAACTTCGCTTGGAACATGTGTCTGAACCGATGCGTGAACAAGCACTGGAGGGTCTTTGTGGCGAGCCAGCTCGTCCTTTAACGTCTTCAGTTCTTCGGTCTTAGCAGAAGCATCTTTAGCTTTCTCCGCAAGTTCTTTGTTTTTCTTTTCGATATCTGTTTGGAAAGAGTGAAGTTTGGATTTTAGAATAAACAACTCCTTGTTTTTAAGAGCAAGTTCTTCTTGAACGGATTGGCTGTCCTTGTTATTTTCCGCGTCTTGATCGGTTGAACCTTCTGTCAACTGTACGTTGCTGGTGTCTTTACTAGAAGCACATTTATTTTCACCAGCAGCTTCAAGGGATGTCTTTAGTTGGGAAATCAAGTTCTGGTTGTCACCAGTTTGTTGTTTTAATATGTCCCGCTCATTTGTGATCCTCTTATTTTCGTCTTGCAACGTCTCCACATCTTTCTGAAGTTTACAAACTTGCTGTGACAGAGCTTGTTCTGTCATCATTGCCTTCTGATTCTGAACTTTCAATTTATGTTCATAATCTTGTTGAAGTTCCTGAGTGTTATGAAGCCAAGTGTTTCTTCTCTCCTCGTACACCTGAAATATTGCACGCTCATTGCGGTCCATAACTTCTCTCAGTGTGTTGATTTCAGCATCCTTCTCTCTCAGCATTGCCTCTAGTTCCCCAACGCCGCTGTCGCTTGGTGAAGGAGTTTGGAGAACACTTTCAGTTACTTGAGATGATACACAAGGAACATTAGCTGAATGACTAGACTGGGACTCATGTGAGGTAACTGGGCGGTCACTTGCAAAGCCTCCAACATCGCAAGCTAGTACACTGGACGGATTCGTAGAGATGGACGATGCAGCAAGGACATTGATGTAAGTATTGTTGCTGACATTATGCTGTGAGGTCATGGAAGAACTGTGCTGTAAATTGTTGTGAATGTTATTTAAATTAGTGGAGTGACTATATGAGGTCGGAGGGTGAAGATGACTGTATTGACCTGACACGGGCTGTGAGCTTAGTGGCCTCGGGGTCGCACCACTAGTTGCGTGATACTGAAGTTTTGTCATAGAATTAAATGCTCCAATATTTGAAGGCCCGTCGTGTAAATACAAACCGGCTTGCACGCCGGACAGATTCGCATTTTGCTTGGGAACTTGTGGATTCGAACTGCGAAATCCGTTACTGTAATCACAGGATTCCTGCTGCCGCCGAACCACACAACTGCTACCTATGGAGTTTCCCTGGACAGGCTTAAATGCGATTGGTCTGATGACGTTTGAGCCAGGTTTCTGGAGAATAAAAACAAACTGATAAAAGCCAAATGTTGTTTCATTATAGTGAATATCTATTATTTTCTTTTAATTATTTGTGTATGCTAAAAAAAAAAAAAAAAGTAAAAATTAACCTTACAGTACAACAAAAATGCATCTCATGTGATCAGCTATAGTCAAATGTAGTAATCAGTAAGGCGTCACTATAGTCCCGTCCCGCCCGGCTCTCTAGCGTAGTTGGTTAAACCGGACTGCGCGGTGACCTGGTGACGAACTCCTTGTGGTCCGGGTTCACTCCCGGGGGTAGGCAGAAAAGCCACATTTCTCCCAGATTTACGGTATTTATCATGGAATCAAAGCCGAAGTGTAGCGATATCCAAAATACCGAGCCTAAGGGTTAACAACTGATGGCTTCTGGATACTAAAAAAAAAAATAGTTACGTCCCAAAGCGCAAAGCACTTTTCGTTATTTCAAAGCCCCACTCCGGCTGTTGTCGGGGGGGGGGGGGGGGGAGGGATGGGGCTTAATATAACCTAACGGTTGAACGGGGTTTCTGGGACTTGTGCCCGAGTGATCCTCATCCGAATTGTAGCGCTTTGTGCCACCGGGTGCTGCTCGCTCGCTGTAAGGTCCTGGTAGGGTTCCACGAAACACATTAGGGTGTATTCAAATACAGTAAGTAAAGGAGTCTGTTCATAGGGCATACTGTGCTAGACCCAGATTTTATAGACCAATCGGTACTCGATCACGAAGTCCGCTTCTATTTCCCAGAACATTTCCTGATACATATCTTAGGCTGGGTAGACTATAGAACTCTGGATCAGTTTATATGTCCAAAGTACTTCCATCCAACCATCTATCAGTGAGACAGTTCATTAATATGTCCGTTGTACTTCCATCCATCATTCATCAGTGAAAGTGCATTTATATGTCCGTTGTACCTTGATCTATCCACCAGTAAGACAGTGCATTAAAATATCCGTTATATCTCCATCCATCCATCCATCCATCCATCCATCCATCCATCCATCCATCCATCCATCCATCCATCCATCCATCCATCCATCCATCCATCCATCCATCCATCAGCGAGACAGTGCAATAATATACCCATTGTACTTCTATCCATCTATCCATCAGCGAGATAGTCCATTAATATGTTCCTTGTATTCCATCCATTCATCCATCCATCCGTATATCGATTGATCGATCGATCGATCCATCCATCCATCCATCAATTAATCCATCCATCCATGCATCAGCGAGACAGTGCATTAATATGTACTTCCATCCATCAATTCATCAGTGAAAGTGCATTTATATGTCCGTTGTACCTTCATCTATCCATCAGTCATACAGTGCATTAATATATCCGTTACACCTCCATCCATCCATCCATCAGCGGGACAGTGCAATAATATGCCCATTGTACTTCCATCCATCTATCCATCAGCGAGACAGTGCATTAATATGTTCAATGTAATCCATCCTTTCATCCATCCATCCATCCATCCATCCATCCATATATCGATCGATCGATCCATCCATCGATCCATCCATCCATCCATCCATCCATCCATCCATCCATCCATCCATCCATCCATCCATCCATCCATCCATCCATCCATCCATCCATCCATCCATCCATCCATCCATCCATCCATCCATCCATCCATCCATCCATCCGTCCGTCCGTCCATCCATCCATGCATCAGCAAGACAGTGCATTAATATTTTCCCTGTAATCCATTCATGCATCAGCAAGACAGTGCATTAATATGTTTCTTGTAATCCATCCATGCACCAGCGAGACAGTGCAATAATATGCTCCTAGTAATCCATCCATGCATCAGCGAGACAGTGCATTATTATGTTCCTTGTAATCCATCCGTTCATCTATCCATGCATCCACGAGAGAGTGCATTAATATGTTCATTGTAATCCATCCATTTATCCATCCATCCATCCTTGCCATCCATCGATCCATCCATCCATCCATATATCGATCGATCGATCGATCGATTCATCCATCCATTCATCTATCCATCGATCCATCCACCCATGCATCAGCGAGACAGTGCATTAATATGGTCCTTGTAATCCATCCATTCATCCATCCATCCATCCAGGCATCAGTGAGACAGTGCATCAATATGTTCCTTGTAGTCCATCCATTTATCCATCCATCCATCCATCCATCCATCCATCCATCCATCCATCCATCCATCCATCCATCCATCCATCCATCCATCCATCCATCCAGGCATCAGCGAGACACTGCATTTATGTCCGTCGTACTCCGGGCTATCAGTTAATAACATCAATGAGCTACGTGCATTAACTCTCATTATCCGTCAAGAAGACAGTGAGTTAATGTGTCCATTGTTCTTCCATTCATAACTAAATTGTGTATTTAGCTAACTTAGCCGTTGTACATAAAACTACCAGTCAATGAAATAATGAGCTTTGCCTGTTTTACTTCTATTGATAGACAGTAATGAATATGTCCGTTGTACTTTTAGCTCTCAGCCAGACAAATAGTAAGATTATATATCCGTTATACTTTTAACGCATATACACTAACGCCCTAATAAAACTCTAAACATTTTGGAAAAAAGCCTAACAAATTAAAAACAATAGAAATTCCATGCTGAGAAAGTCTTTATAAGATAATTTTCAAGAAATGTATATGGATCCTCGCCGGTGCTACAGAGCCTGTGCACTCTGCTGAGCTTCTTCGGACTCTTACTTGAGTTAGAAGAAGAACGGAGCACTTATGAGTTGTTACCCGTGTGCCATAATGTTGATTTGCAATTCAAACCTCAAACAAATGTATATTTCAAATTTAGAAAAAACGAATTCATTCCAAACTCCATTTGTGCAATAACTACACATCCAGAGTTTCTTATTCAACCAAATCGTTTCCTCAGAGTTGTCGTGACCCTAACCATCGTTAACACTTAAAAGCAGCTGCGGAGGAAATTGATAGAAAGAGAAAAGAAACTAGGAGAAAATGCGAAACGCAAGTGAACTTCTTTACAGTTCGACACAGAAACAGCACAGATGAATCACAGATAATGTAAAATACACGTGTGCTGAGTACAGGGGGAGGCGTTCATTAGAATGTAACAATGTAAACGGTCACCGGACTCTGCAGACGTCAGCTTGACGTTAAAGAATAAAGAGGCACGGTAGCGGTTCAATAGAAAAAGAAGAAAAGAGGAAGATGAGGGGAAAAGTGGAGAGGAAGATGACGATGGTAATGATGATGATAATGATAACGAAAAGCACAAAATGAGGAGAGAGGGGAGGAGGATGCGAAAAAGAGGAAGAAAAAGAAAGAAAGAAAGAAATAAGAAGAAGACGAAGAAAAAAGAAAAATAGAAGAAGAAGAAGAAGAAGAAGAAGAAGAAGAAGAAGAAGCAGAAGAACAAGGAGGAGGAGGAGGAGAAGCAGAAGAAGAAGAAGAAGAAGAAGAAGAAGAAGAAGAAGAAGGGGAAGACGGAGAAGAAGGAGGAGGAGGAGAAGAAGACGAAGAAGTACTTAATAAGACTAAGCTATTAATTTTCTGTGGGAATCCGTAGTGTTTCATCAATTTATTAGCCCTTACAAAACTAATGCCTTAAAAAAAAAAAAAAAAGCCGATAAAGTGCGTACCACCAAAAACTATACCCGTCTATCCAAAATATAAGCCCTAGTTAGGATCCTCAGCCAAACGGGAGGATTTCGTTGGTTAGTTGAAATGTCGCCACGCGACGGGCCTAGCAAGCCGGCAGTGGTGTAATTGACCATTACTACACAAGAAACATTAAAGGGCAGACTCTTGCAGGCAACGTTAATAAATCCAAGCCATCCGAGAAGTACAAGACAAATATTTAAAAAAAAACAACAACAACGAAACTGAGCTGCAACCTGGTATCAGTAAGACGACAAATAAAGAAGTTGAAACATAAGACGGACGTATTTAATTTAAAGTAATGAATACAGTGGTCAAAGCTCTTTGGGAACAATTGAAATAAATAACAATATTCACTAATGGCTTTACATAAATGTAGTTTAACAAATGTAGATTTTGTACTTGAGTGAATGTGAAACCTGTTAATTGAATAAATGTATATTTGTGTGCATTAAACAAAAATAAAGCACCTATTTTACTTGTTCATTCGTTAATTCATTCACATGTCATTAATTAAATTTTTTCAATTCGTTCATTAACAGAACATTCACTAGTTTGCCTCTTCGTTAATGATTACATCAAGCATTCGGTAATGAATTCCACAATTCCTTTAATACTTTGGTCCACCATCCCGCAGACGGAAGTTAGTCTTTCGATCACATCCCTCCATCGTTTTCTTCTCCCATCCCTCTCTTTTCAAGGTAACTCAAGTCCGCGTTTCAACATCCTTGCATGTTTCCTTGTGTTACAGATTTTCCCGCAGTAAAAAGTTCACATGTCAAGTAGAGTTTAAAAAAAAAAAAATACGGGAATTCTCCATGTCATACCCCGGTCTAGGTTATTCATTAGCTTGTGAAACCGGAGATTTCTTGCAGATGGGACCGATCCCAGGTGGTTTTATTTTCCTTGCTTGTGTAAACATCCTTTTCTATTTATAGCATAATGCCGATTTTTAGAAATCCATAGTTTACTTTAGAAACTCAGGCTGAAAAATAATCTGTTGGTGTAAGTATGAACATTTTCTAGTCGACGAAAAGCAGTATACAGTGATACCTCGGGTCGCGATCGCCTTTCGTCACGAACAAATCGGCCAAAGAATACAATTTCTGAACTCATATTTTGACTTGACCGTTAGGTAAACAAATCCTCGGTGCACGAACATAAACATAACTTTAGCGCCATGTTTTCGGCTAACGAACAGCATTAATTGCAGCCAGGTTTGCGCGACGTGAGCACTATTTGTCGTTTTGTTATTCTTGCTCCACTTTTTAAAACTGTCTCATTATTTTCTCATTTTGGCATTAAATTACCCCGCATTATGGCTCCCAGTGAAGTAAAAAG